TATTAAATAAAGAAATTAAACAGAATTGACCTTATGTATTTGCTATGTAACAGGCTAAATGGGTCAAAATATCTTCTATCGCCTATAAAAACGTAGTTTTACATCAGTTGTCCTGATAGCACTGAGTAAACTGAAGAGTAGTTCACTCCTTTAATTTTTTTGAAACTAATCCTTGCCACACTGCAAGCAGCCTTTACAAATCCTGTAAAATCATATTTATTTGTGGTCAAAAGATTGAGAGCTACTTAAGGGTCCATATTGTATTGGCAGTGTTGAAAGAATTCCCAGCTGAGGGAAAATGGTTAAAAACCTGTACTCCTGAATTATGTGTGAAATTATGTGCTACACAATATTACAGAACAAGTAATTAGATGTGTTCTTAATGTATGTAGTACTTTAATCTATGCAACCACTCCTAAAAAATATGCACACATTTCACAAAAATGTGACACAAACTTCAAATTATTCTTCTTCACTTACATTTGCATGAAATTCCATCCACTGTGTAACAGTTTTGTGCATTTTACTATTAACAAGACACATTGGTGACAGAAATGAGTTACCGTGTTAGAGCCTGAGAAGGAAACCTCTGACCTGCTGTAGCCACATTTGCTTTGATAGCTAAAGACGTGTTTCTGCACGGATGAGTTCTTGTTTCTTCACAGTGACCCACTGGCTTCAACAGAGTTTCATATAGCATGCACAGATTCATTCACAGAAAGAATCCTTTGAGTTCTGACATTTGCTTGAGGGGAGGAGAGACAAAATAAAAAGAACAGAAGCCAAAGGAGAGGTAAGGCGGCCCAACTTGGAGAGTACCAAGCTGCGCCTTACCTGGTCTTCCGCTCACAGGACTGCCAAGTTCTGCACCAACAGGGTCATCAATTCACATGCAGAAGTAAACAGAAGTACCTGAGTGCCAGCCAAGGTACAGCTGTTTCCAATTCCTTCTGTTCCGGATGGTGAATGAGAAAAGATTTTGAGGTATAGAGAACTCATAGTTACAAACAGCTTTTTATTACTAGAACCAAGCACATTTGGCCTGGAGTCATTAAAGCTGGGTCAACGGGAAGCTCCTTTGTACTGTTTTTATGATCACTTACTCTACATATGAGTGAATTATGCAGACGATATGAAATTCTAGTCTAGAAAAGTGATCGTACTTGCTCTAAGAAACTTGTTAGGACTTAGTTGCAAATTTGCATCAAGATTTCTTATCCTGGGAGGCTTAATACCAGAAAATTTGAAGGAAGCAGTATGTGGGGCTGCTCACTCTGATACTCTGACTTCTGTTCAGGAATCTCCTTCATGTGAGAAAACAACCAGTTGGTTACCATGCCACCTCCCATAGCATTTTTGTGATCCCATTTGATATGAAAAACATACTAATATATTGCTTCTGAAGAAAAAGACATTAAAGGGAACAAAAGATGCTTGCTTCCCTCTGATTCTCTTGAGATGTACAGATTTCAAATAAACAGTTAAAACACTTCCCTACTCTTCTATCTAGACTCTGGACTGCATCTATCCTTCCAGTCAGAACATTACATCTGATGAAGACTGAATTTTTCTCTCATGAACCACAGAAGTCAGGTCAGATACACATACTATTTTGTTCACTTCCATCAGGACATTTAGCATAGAAAAATCCTGATCTAAGTGCCTGGGGAAAACCTTCAAACCGTTCTGTCACCCCATTTCTGAACAACACACAAAACCCCACCATCACAGCTTGTTTTTAGCATCAAAACTTAAACATGGAAGTTTCTGATCTGTATTTAAAACGCAGTTTCACACAAACAACATAAAACAATTGCTTATTGTAGAGGAGGGGAGAAGACATTTCATTTGGCTTCTAAAAGGTGCTAACAGCAGTTCAGTTTGCTGTCAAATACTGAACTACTCCAACAATAGATTTGACCGAAGTGGTTTAGCAGCCTGATAGCCCAATTGCTTCTGATTTAAAAACTTTGCAGGGGTCTTCTTTGAACTAGGAATCTGGAAAAGCATATCTTCCAGAGTGCACATGGTTATCCGTCCTGAAGCTTGTAGTTTCGTATAAATACCTCCTAATTTGGCAGAAAGGGCAGGGTTTTCTTCCATCTTTTCCCTGACTGTAGCCAGCTAAGGAGGAGAAAACAACAGACTGTTACAGTTCAGCAAGTCAAGATCTCATTCAACCACCACAATGAAGACAAGTAATCACTCAAAGAAAAAAAAAAGTATACAATGTAAATGTGGCTAATGCAATGACTCATAAGAAGAGGATTTTACGCAGCACACATTATACATCACCAGACAATGGTAGAAATGCACTGGACACCTATTAGAGACAGTTTATTAGATTTAAAACTTCCTCAAAGTTGTACAGTCCTATTTTCAGTCCTAGTATAGACTAAAACAATTATTCTCTATTTAAACCCAGGAAACATAATTGCTTCCTGGAATTTACTTTCCAGATCAGCACAATTCTAATTATTATTACGTATCACACTAAGTGTACAGTTCAGTACAAATCAATAAAAGTCAAACCATAGAACACTGTGAGGTTCTGTATGCCATATACAGAATATGAGCTCAAGTATAAGTAGATCTCTTAAAAATTGTTACTGATCAATAACTTTTTGTGGAAGGAATGGGTTAGGACTAATGCTTAGTCTTCTTAGGGACTGTTACAAATTTGCCAAACAAAATCAAAATACAACAGTGACACATGTAACATTTATTGCAGTGAATTTACAAAATGAAATGCTGCTTAAAAAATATCTTTTCAACATAGCAGTTAATATACATGGGCTATATTTTGAAAGGTATTTCCCCCTTCTACCACTGCTTGTTATTTTACGTATCAGTTATTAATTTTGTTTAATAGGGAGCAATGAAAGGCTAAGTATTTAATTATTAACATAAGTCTTAAAATACCTTGTTCCATAGACATGTTCAAAATGTATACACTAGTAAGTTTCAGGACAAGCAGCAGCAACACTGCCAAGCTGACAGGGGTACATATGTGCTCTGAAGGAAGCCTTCTCGGTGATCAATACTGTAAGAGTTATTTTTTATAGTAAAATATAGTAAAATAGCAAAAGCTATTATTTCCCATATCACACTTCCTGTATAGCATCACAGGTCTTTGCAGATATTACCAACCTAACAATATCACTGTGATCAGAACGATCATTTTTACATCACATGAAAATAGCACAGAAGGCAAGGGATTAAATTATGTAATGCCACTAGGGAATGCTTCATCTACATTCAGATGAAATTTGATGTTCTAAAAGCAAGCTCCACAATAAAAAAGGGAAGTGGACATCTACGTGCTTTGTCCAACAGTACAGAAAGCCAGCCAGCTGCTTTGGCGTCTGAATGCATCAGAACCCATACAACTTCAGCAGGGTGAACTCAGGCACCTGAAGTTCTGTAGCTGAACCACCGCCATCATGGTTCAGCCAAGCACCATGGACCTCCTCTTGTTACTGTATACTTACCACCTCCTCAGAAAACTCAATTTTTTTCACAAAGGGAGGAGTATCTACTTCCACTGCTGCCTCCAATGTCTTTAGTACTTCTTCTAGCGAACCAGATCTGAGCTGGACAAGAACCTTAAAAATAAACCAAAACCACACCACACAAATAGTACTTATCGTCAGAATGCGAATTTTTAAAAAAGTGTGTGAGGAAGACATGAACCAAAGCAGGACAAAATACATTTCTAGATACTATGCTGATAAAAATTCATTAATCATGAAGAAAGCAGAGGGAATGATCAATTTCCATGGAGGTTTGGGTTTTTTTCGCAGCTGGGACCTGGAAAGGAAGGGTGAGCCTGGAGGCAGAGCTCCTCTGATGGAGCTGCATTAGCTGCTCTTGAATAAAGCTTTTTTTTTTCCATAGCTTAAAGAGGTCACTTACAGAGCACATGCAGTAGACTTTCTCTCATGACGTAGACCATGCAATTAAAGAAAAAAATTGTATGTACATGTGTGGTTAAGGTTCATAGGGCTGAAGGAGGTCTGAACTGGGCAAATCACAGCTAAGGCAGACATTTACTTGGACTTGTGGTTTTTTAAATCTCTTGTAGCAAGAAAGCAAAAAGTCACAATGTCATAACTAGAAATTGTTCATGGGTCTATACTCACAGATGTAGGACTGGTCTACTTTCCATTCCCATCTACGGTAGGAAGCCATTTTAAAAAATGGGGGGAAGGTGTTAAAAATTCAGAATGTAACTTGTCCAACTGACAGAAATTGTCTGTTGGCTCAAAAAACATCAGTAACAGCACTGATGCACGCCTGTCCACCCAGACACCTGGGTCCCCTATTCAGGGTGGTGGTGGGGCTCCTGGATGCCTGGGTCCCTTTGGAGTCGGGAGGGCACCTAGATGTCTGGGTCCCTTTTTGGGGGGGTGGGGGGCACCCAGCACACTTCTGTTACTTTGCACATGGGAGTTTTTTGTCCAGTATAGCATACTTCTCTGCAAGATTCTAATACAAAGTAAGCATACTTACTTTAAGATTATTGTATAGTTTGTTCTCTGTTTTCATTATCTGGGAACAATAAAATTTGGCTTGTGCTACATCATTCTAGGAAGGAATTATAAATAATAAAAAAAAATGGTTAAATGTGTGACACTTTCACAATAGAAGTTCAAGAGAAGCAACAGTCTTTCACAACTTTTCAATGAATCACAAACCAGCATCTAGAACCCCTTCACCAAGACCAATAGACTCCAAATAGCACCCAGCCTGTGAAAGGAACACCCCACACTGGAGTTCCCATGTCATCTGGATCTTCAACACATCAGACAGTGCTCCCTGCCTCAGATAGAATCATAGAATCATCAGTAGGGAAAGCAACCATGTAACCGACACTGAGCATGAGAGCACCTAAAAGATAAAAGATTACACACATGGCCAGTTTGGCACATGTAGAATACTTAAATGAAGTGCAGCATATGTTAATGTGAGTATTTATCCTGCCCAGCACTTTCAACCTTTTGGACACACACATCCACAGTATTGTATCTATGCCATCAACTGATTTGTATAGACAGTAAACGTTATGCTGACAATTACTAGACCAACCACTGTTACTTGGGATCAAGAAACATCCTACTCACGGCAAGATGTACTGTCAAAGATCATGAAGCTTAAAGAATAATTAAGTGTAATATGAAGCATTATTCTGTTTGCAAAACAAGAATTTTAACTGATTTTTACACAAAGCAACAGCATCAAGGATATTTCATGTTGTTTCAGAGACAGAGATTTTGTTTTTTAACCTCAATGCCAATAAGAAGCCCAGTCATGCCATCATGCACATGAATAAATTAATTTCAATGACGCTATTGTTCAGTGTCTCTGTTCACAGAGACAGCGCAAAAAAAGACCACAGAGCAGGTAAGAAAATTTTAACAATTCTACTGCACTCATTCAAATCTGTGAACAACATCAAATCGCTAGCTCTTACAGTGCCTCTGACCTCTGCTAGACATGAAACAGAGAAGGTTCAGAATTTCCTGAAGCTGTATAAACAAATTAATGGCAGAGGAAATACTAGACTTTAGAATTTCCTAATTGTTATTCTCCTGCTCAGTCTTTCACCCCATACTGCCTCAGAGCCTCTTCATATCAGTGCTTAGGCACACAAGGTATATGAAAACCTTCTGCTGAAGAAACATGTTGTGGAGAAAGACAGGCCATCTCCCAGGCAGTAGGGCAATACACATCATAGCCTTTGAGTTTGCCTCCGAGATAAACATTTTAAAGACATGACTGTGCAAATATTTTAAACTATCATTTTAATTTTATTTAAAGGAAACCATCACTAAATATCAGTTTCTGCAGGACTGGGTCCATGGTTACATCTAACTTGCTGGCCCAACTCTCATTTTCTACAAATATATTCTATATGGCATTGTCTCTAGCACAAAACACCTGTGCATTAGATTCAAGACATATGTTTAGATTTCACAATTTCCACATTCACTTGTGTGGGCGTTGTCTATAATCCTACTCTTTTGGGGGCCTAAAAGTTCTAGTACTTGAAGTTATTACATAGATCAGTTATGCTTCCTCTATGTTAACTTCCTTTCAGTGACTACCTTACTACAATAAAACTACAGAGGTTTAGAAACAAATCAAAATGAAAGGTACTGTACCTGCTTCAGAGCAGTTGCCACAGCAAAACAGAACACTCGCAGTGGTAATGTGTCACCTTTTAGCTGTGCTTCTTCAAGCAGTTTTGCAGAGATTTTGCAAGACTCCAGGTTGTCCTGCATAGAAATTTCAAATCTAAGTTGCACTTGTTATTCTTGTGATCTGAGAGGACTGCAGGCAATTGCAATCACATTCAGAAGGCATTCAGAAGACAACATACTATAAGATCACCAAGCTAATCCATATCTGAACCCAACCAAGCAGATTCTATGCAGCACTTCTTGAGAAACACAATACCAAAATATGGTATTCAAAGCTACACAGTTCAGAAGAGGGTAAAAATAACTTCCATTATTTTAACAACTACACCTTCCTTGTTCTGGCTTCTACAAGAGATAAAACAACCCCTGCAGTATGCTAAAACCAACAGACACTTTCTTTTCCACTTTGCAGTCATTCCCAAATCAGGAAGAAAGTGGACTTTTTGTCCTTGCCTTATTCTAAAAGCTACATTAGAAATGTATGTTAATGAAAATCAGTGTTTTCTAAGCATTGACTCAGCACCATTACACTAAAGAAATCTGTGTATGTGCAAATTTGAACATTCAGCAATTTTTAGCCTCTCTTAAGGATTACATCTTGCAAGACGTTTCCAAAGTATCTATTCTAATATGATAGCTTAGACATTTGCCTGGTTTCCAACACAGAAAGCTTCCATTACTGCTGGGACTATTTTCAATAGGAGTCTGTAGTAAAAGGCAATAAGTTTACCTGTGTGTTATCTCACAAACCACCAACTCTCAAAAACAATGCTCCTCACACTGCAGTAGAGCTGACTGGATCCCAAACAAAATAATACCTGCCAAACTTAAAAGCTGGCAGCAGGAAGGTTTTGTAACAACTGGTACCACCAATATGGATAAAAGCCTTCATATTCCTTCCTAGTATTTAGTGCTGATTTCTGTTCCTGCTGTTCAAAGTGTCATTCCTGCAAAATACTGGCCATGATTTAAGGGATAGGATCATCCTTTGAGTGTTTAAGGGATGCTTTTCCATGCCACTGCTGAATGGTCTGCACAGCTTGTGAAAATACCTTTTAAACCACACATGAGAAATCTGTAGTTTAAAACATGCTCTTTGAAAATTTAGAAACATTCTGACCACCAGAAGATTGGTTATTATTACATAAATATTTTGTTGTCATCAAAAGGCCTAGAACCCTTCCCTGCACTAAAAGAAGGACCATCTGTTACCTTAGAGGACAGCAGTGCCTTACAATGATTTTTTGAAATTGATCTCTCAAACACTTCTGTACACAGATTCAACATTCATTCCTTTGTTTATTCACTAGCAATAATCTGAGGTTTAAGCCTTGTGCATTTTTCTGTACTGGTCTCTGGCATGGTTATTCAAAAGAAACCAAGAATTAACCTGACAAAAATCCAGCACTGCTCTTAATGATACCAGCACCATTATTTCCAGTATTCAAGTAGTGCATCTTGCAGATATTTCCCTTCAAGATTTTTTTGGAAGTTTCTTATGTTGCATCACAAGGAAAAATACTTTTGAGCTTCATTGTTTCTCCTCCTATCACTAACAGCTGAATCAACAGATTAAGCTTTTGAAAGAGCTCTATCTAATCCTCTTTAGTGCATAAAGGGTTACTACAGCTTATTCCCTTATTGGTAGTATTTTATCTTAATGAAAAAAAACCCACAAATTTATTGTGGCTGTTAAGACAACCGGGTGACAGTTTAGAATCATCTCCCCTCTATTTTTATTAACTTGCTAGACAAGTAATGATGGGCTAGATTCTCTATTGAAAACACAGGTAGGGCCAGAAGTAGTAGGAAACAGAAGTCTCAGGAACCTCTTCCTGTTGCACATGCCAGGGTTCCCAGCCTTCTGACAGCAGGCCATGGAAAGAACCATATAAAGATTTTAGGGAAGAAGCTACAGCAGAGGGAGTAAAGGATACCTCAGAGAAACACAGTGGGTTTCTGTGAAAGCCTTTACGTAAACGGGCAGGGTATAGACCAAGGAACAACTTTGAAGTGGTAAATATTGCTTCAGTGGATGCTAGTAGCAAACACGAGCTTATAAACTTGGGTTGTAGCATAGTGTCAGAGCCTTTGTACATTCATAACTCTCTAAAAAAGGTGCCATTTACATATAACTGGTAACATCCCTAAACTGACTGCAACCATCATTCTCTAGCTGTTCTTAATAACAGACAACTTCCACACCTCTTTCTCAGTTTTGTCTACTGCCCCACTCTCCAGACACCAAAGCCACATGGCTATTTGTATTTCCCCTGACCTAAAGACAGCCCTGATTCATTAGAACTGAGAATTGCAGAAGCACCACATAAATTACTGCTGAGCTACCATTTCAGGCCAACTCCTTTTTATCACATAGGCACTTAGTTTCATTGTATGGTTAAGTGAAAAACCTGAGGAAGTTTAGTCTAGTGGTATAATTTTTCCTCAGCTAGTGTCTTTCTTCCTAAAAACATGAGGAAATTGAAGATGAATTTCGTACTGAGTTTGGGAAGGGCCTATGTTCATATTTCAAACTGCAGAACTGATTCAAATCTGGAGAGGAAGAGCAACATAAAAAAAGTTTGGGGATCTCACTTTGGTACAAAAGGGAAACAGTTCTAAGGAAACGCTCATAGAACCTATGTAGCCTAGCTTCTTACTGTGTTCATGCTCTTTTTCTCTGAGCTAAAAATACAGTTAAGCTCAAGGGGCAGCCTGTCTCTCACTGAAGGCATTCATTTAGGTTTCTTTTCTCCACTCAGCTGCCCATTTTCATCAGGCATGTAGGAACAGATTACCTTTGAGAACTCTAATCCTTGTCAAATTTGAGTGCAAGTACAGAAATGGTTCAAGGTTACTTGGGAGAGGAGAAATGTATGGGAGATGCCTGACAAACAGAACATATCATATATATGCCTTGTCTCTTAAGGAAGCCAGACTATAAAACCAGTATTGAGGCTCAAGCACAGAGTATAGTCTGAAGAGATATACAGATCCCAGAGAAAGAATACTATCAGCTAATCAATGGCTGTATCAAATTTGTTCCTTAGTGCTTGCGTCCATGTACTTTTTTAGATATTTGCTTTGTGACATTAGTTTGTATGGAAGCTATATATGTAGCCATATAAATATCAAGACATATCATGCAGGATGAAGCAATTTAGGACATAATCACATCTAAAATATTTGCACTAGATAAGAAATCATGACTGGGAACATATAGAAATTTAAAAATAATAAAAAAAGAAGGCATAGAGAAGGCTTTTCAAATACTTTTTCATCATGTAAATTGGAAATACTTACCAGTTTGTAGCATATTGCAAATGCAAGTAGATAGGTTTCTTTGTTAAAAGGTATACCTTGTTTTTTCATTTCTATCAGAACTTCCAAAGCACCTATCAAAATTACATTAGTGTTACTCACTTCAAAAATTTAAGGCTGGACATTTAGTAACTGAAAAAAAAAAAAATTTCAATGTGGTCAGTAAGTCTATTTCAAAATAAGAATGTAAAGTGAAATCCGTTATTTAAAAAAAAAAAAAAACATTTCAAAAGGTTTAATTTAGCGTCAGTTGGATGTAAAAATGTCTTCCCAGCAATGAAGTTTTCTGGCCTTACTGTTCTATTAATTTCATACAAATCTAAAGTTGAATTCTAGATAGTTGACAAAGCCAGTCTCATTCTTCTTAATTGCCCAGAAAGCAAGCCTTTTAAACACATGATCAAAGCTTGCACCATTTTAGGCAAACTGTCTAACAGCTCCTCAATAATGCACATGCTCCACTACACCAAAACACTGGATTCAGGCTCTGATCTAATTATTTTTACAGTGGCTCAGTCTCAACTTTCAGGACAACTGCTGGACTTAGATTTGCCAAATGTCAAGAGACCAAGCAACAGGCAAGTGCAGGTCAACCAGGGGATCAGGACCAGC